CTCTGGTCGATTGGTGAAGTGGGCGGTTGAACTGAGTGAGTATTCTTTGATGTACGAGCCGAGGAGAGCCATAAAGGCACAGGTGTTGGCTGATTTTATCCAGGAAGGCACGAAAATCGAGGAGGAGTCAGAGGGATTATGGCAGTTGTTTGTAGATGGATCTGTGGCCCGAAGCGGAGCAGGATTGGGAATTGTTCTTGTCTCCCCCAAGGGTGATTATTTGGAATTCGCGGTTAAAGTGGGGTCCAAGATATCCAATAATGAAGCTGAGTATGAGGCGGCGATTAAGGGATTGAGTCTAGCCAAAGCAGGGGGAGCTCGAAAGTTGCAAGTGCATTCCGATTCTCAACTGGTGGTCGGGCAGTTTCAAGAAGGTTTTGAAGTCAAAGAGGATCGGATGCAAAAATATATGGATGAAATGAAGAAGTTGAAAGAGGAGTTTGACTCGTTCGAGCTAATACAGATCCCTCGAGGAGAGAATGGTCGAGCAGATCTATTGTCGAAGATTGCTCAGAGCTTGGTTGATTGCAAGAGTAGAAGTGTAACTCTGTTGCATCTCGAAAAAAGTGTGATCGAAGCAGAAGTGGTGGAGATCGAAGAGGTGGAGGATTGGAGGGCCCCGATTTTGGAGGAGCTGAGGGGAGGAGCGATAAAGGTGGTGAGGAGGTTTTTCGAGCAGGGAGGCATTCTTTACAAGCGATCTTATGGAGGACCACATTTGCGTTGTGTTACTAAGGAAGAGGGTCGATATTTGCTGAGGGAGATGCACGGAGGATGCTGCAGTGACCATAGTAAGTCGGGAGGCTTGGTCGCGAAAATTTTGAGGGCAGGATATTTTTGGCCAACAATGAGAGAAGATGCGAAGGCGATGGAGAAAAAGTGTTTGCAATGCCAAAAGCACGGCCCCCTTATCCACCAACCGGCCGAAGCCATGACGACGATGAGTGCTCCTATACCATTCGCCCAGTGGGGTATCGACCTGGTGGGGCCGATGCCTCAGGGGACCGGGCAAAAGAAGTTCTTAATAGTGGCGGTCGATTATTTCACAAAGTGGGTGGAGGCCGAGCCCTTAGCAAAGATTACAGAGGAAAAAGTTATTAAATTCATATACGATAACATTTGATGTCGGTTTGGTGTCCCCAAAGTGTTGATTTCCGATAACGGCACCCAGTTCAATGGGAAGTGGATTCGAGCGTGGTGTGAAAATATGAAAATCGAGCAACACTTTGCCTCTGTGGCGCATCCGCAAGCTAACGGCCAGGTCGAGGTAACTAATCGAATTATATTGAATGGGATGAAGACAAGGTTGGAGAAGGCCTCGGGAGCATGGGTCGATGAGCTGAGCTCTGTACTTTGGGCATATCGCACAACTCCAAGGTCGACCACAGGAGAAACCCCGTTCAGTTTAGCTTATGGAATGGAAGCATTGCTGCCGGTCGAGATCGAGTTATCTTCCTAGAGGTCGAGCACGTATGATGTTGAACAGAACAAGGACCTGATGATGGTAGCCTTAGATACTATCGAGGAGCTGCGTGAGAAAGCAGTAATCAGAGTGGAGGCGTACAAGCAGAGGATGCGAGCCGCTCATGACAAAAAGGTGAAAATTCGCAAACTCCAGGTCGATGACCTGGTTTGGAAGCGCGTCGATGTACTCAAACATGTAGGAAAGCTGGAGCCAAATTGGGAAGGACCATACTTGGTCGAGCGAGTGCACGCAGGAGGAGCGTACTCACTCAAAGATGTCGAAGGCCGGTCACTTGCCAGGTCATAGAACATAGCTAATCTGAAAAAATATTATGTTTGAAAGTTTTTTCTTTCTTTTTATATACATTATTATTATTTCTGAGCGACGCTTGAGAAATTTGAACAAGAATGTAAATCGCAAAATTTATCAAAAGGCAATGAAGTTTAGTAATCTTTCTGGTTTTATCTATTTCATTTCACATCTTCTTATGCTGGGAATGTTGCCACAATTAAATGACAGGATGTATGTGGTATGGTTTGATCTAGAGGTCGCTTGTTTAGAACATTCCTTGGGGTGGGCAGGTTGGTCGAAAGATCTTCTGTTAAGAACATTCCTCGGGGTGGGCAAGTGTGAAGACCAAAACCCACCATGAACAAGGCCCTCGGGCTGGGTGGTCGCTTGTTTAGAACATTCCTTGGGGTGGGCAGGTTGGTC